ATATATATATATATATATATATATATATATATATATACACATACACCTTTAAAGTATGAACCTAATTCCTATTTGGTCCTTGAAGTTCCAACTTCCAACCACAACAATCAAATTCCAAGAGTTTTCATTTTAACCCTTAACATTAAAATTCAGCACTTTATCATGACAGAATGGTCTTCCGTGACCAACACATGAATTGGGTAAAAGGATATATTTGTCTGATGAAAAATCTATTATGTGTAGGCTAGAAAACTTTTATTTCATATGATTTTGAGAAAAAATGATAACAAACCCAAAAAAGGAAGATACAAAGTAAGAATTTGAGAGACATTGTCAGACAAAGAAGAAATATTAATGTATCTAAGAGATGTATTTTTTGCCGGCCGAATATATACCCTTTTTTTTATGGAAAGACTAGATTGAAACTCAGTTAAAACTTTGAGGATGTAATTGTATCAATAAAAGCTCTAGGGACCAAATAGAAATTATGTGCATAATTTACTAATGTAAATTGTAAATAATTACCTATATATATATATATATATATATATATATATATATGTTAACCCTAAAAATTTTCTAGATCTGGATCAAATTATGGGGGAAGCGGGAGAGGACGAAACGTTTGCTTTTATAGTTTGACTGGTGTGTTTTCAATTGTTAAGTTTTGAGATATTATTGGTGTTTGTTTGAATTTAATTATTTATGCTTTGGTTGCATTTGAATAATTAGTATTTGAGAAGCTGGAAATATATGATTTAGTACTTAGAATGTTAATAATAAAATATTTCCTTTATTTTTATAAAGTTCGTCTCACTTTACGCCTTAAACAACATAGATCTGAATCACTACAAAACATAATTTCTCCAATGCCTTTTGAGAAAGTATGTTGGTTAGGTGCAGGACCTTGTGGTTTCATGCTTGTTTACTTTAAGTGCATCAAATCTTCTTAAAATATCAAGATTAAGTCCAGAAATATCTATGGATTGTCTTGTGTACAACTGATGGTCAAAGATGTTTTAATATTATCAAGTGCACTCTTTTACTTGTTGAACTATTAATGTAAGTCCAGTGAACAGAAAACAAAGATATGTTATTGCATTTGTTGCTTCTTAATTGTTGATAAATGTTTGCGCCAAGAACCATTCACTCACTTGATCACCTTATAGATGAAGGAATACACAAGTGTAGAGAATGATGGAGATTTCTGTGGAGTTAATTTGCCAGCTGATTGCCAAGGTGCCTCAGTGGTTGTCTATATCACCAACAAGGTGTCATATACACATGTTTGGTACATTTTATTGTGACAAAGAAATCTTCATTGTAAATGTGATATTCGCGCAAAGTGTGCCAACCTCATTCCCACCTGGAGATGCTGAACTTATAATCCTACCTGATAACATATTCTTTTATGTTATTGTGCCAAACTGAGCATAAATATTCTTTCCAGACTAATTCTCATTTTATCTATATGCTTTGATTAAAAACAGATTGAATGTCATACTGTTTATTTTATTGCTATCATGGAATTTCATTCCTAATCTTTCATTCCTATGAACCAAAAAAGGATTTAAAGGTGGTAGGAGATATCACAAGCTAAACAACAGCTGATAGTTTTTTTCCAGGTTTTTTATATTTTACTTTAACATGCTCCTACCATGTTTGTTAAAAAGTGCAACTCAACTGCTAGAATTTTTTCTGCATGAAAATCCAACATCTTAAATGGATTGCCCCGTCCAGGATGTTTAAAAATTAAAAGCACTAGATAAAAAAATTCAAAAGTGCTGTAATATGTACCTCAGCCTGAATGGCAGCTGCAGCCTTAGCATGAGGCGGCCGATATGCAGTGGGTTTTTGCATGGAAGGGTTGGCAGATGTAGCTTTCATGCTGGCCTGGGAAGATTTTGGCTCTTGTCCTGAATAATTCAATTACTCATTTTAAACTTGGCAAAGAATCCAGAAACAAAACATGTTCAGAAAGCCTAAACAAGAAGTAGAACCTTGTGTCCTGGTCGCTTCTACTTTAAGCGAGTCAATGGACTTGACAAGTTCTGCAATTTCACCAAACTGAGTTGGTGATTCAGGTTTCCAATCAGCCTGTAAAAAATAGTGAGCTGGAAACATCAGAAAGCTGATGAAAGCAAGTTGATTCAAGACCAAATAAGGGACACATCACTTTGACAACTGACCTGATACAATTTATCAAACATCTTCTTGAAGTACATTAATCCATTGTGATGGAAGATTTTAATCCTTCAATAATACAAACAACATCATCGAATAAAGAATTAGTCAATAAGTTTAAATATGGACCAAAAATTACCCTCAATCCTGAGCCTGGCAACATGCACATACCAGTAACACAACATGGGAAAGGAAACAAAAACAGACTACCTTGATGATTCAGAAACTGCAAGGCCTCCTATTTCATCACAAGAACTATCAATTTACATGTTTATTTTCATATTTATTCATTTGGCTAAAATTGTTGGCGTGGACTAATAAATAACTCGCTCTAAAGGTTTCCACCAATTGAACAATCCACTTTGACATAAATTATGCAATAGGAGCCGTCATGTCAAAAATGAACTATTTGAGCCAGAGGAATACTCTTTCATTTCAACCGAGAACTCCTCTCAATCATACAGAGCAAGAGACTTTCACATCTAAATTTTTTACTTCATTAAGGGCTTAGCTTTTCCACGTTTTTATAGTTTAGTGTTTTTCACGTTTCAGTTTTATCACTTACTTTTTTGCGTGATATGACAATTGTTGACATTGAACTGCAAATCCTCTCTTCTCCACCAATAAACTATCAAAAACTATGGCTAAAGACAAACATACCCATTGTCAACTTGTAGTCTTGGAGCAGTTGTGGCAGTCATGAAATAGCGTCCATCTGGAGACCATTCACTTGTTACTGACCATTCAGCTTTTGAAGTCCCAAGCTGCTTTTTTTCCATATAGTCCCAGAATGCCTAAATAATGAACACAAATGAGTTTGACCTTCAAAAAGAATAAAAAAAATTTTCGCACCCAACATGTGTGGGTGGCACGACTTAGCCCTGACAACGTAAAAGCAGAAAGGAAATTATGTACAAACTACATGCCATATTATAGGTAAAAGACTTGAAAAGCGGAGAAATAAAGAAAGGAAGAGGCAGAGGGAGAGAAGGAATGCAGAGAAGACATTTGTGCATCTGCATCCATATAGCCATGTCTAAATAGTCATTCACACTTGCTTCACAGACCTAATAAAATGAATTTAATTTATCTTAGATGAAAAATAGTATATTTAAAAATAATAAAGGGGCTTAGCCGGCTGGATTTCATTCTTCTAGGGGACAAATGTATTCTCCATATGAAGTATCACCCCAGAAATGTTAACAAATGAAAACACTCCACATTTCTCTTGCGACTGCCCTGTGAAGTAAAAATGACTCACATATGTACTCATCCTTTACACATGTAGCACCGATTGTCATGAATACTTCACCTCTTAACTTTTTACCCCTCTGAACATCTTCTTATACCAGAATCCAATTGAGCGCTTAAAGCTGCAGTTGGTTGCCAAGGCTTAGACACAGAAATATAGTGTGGATTATTGTGAGATCTTTTCTCCTAGTTCTCGGCTTAATTGTGTTAAAGAGTTGTATTTTTTGTCCCCATGTAATTTTTTACATAGGGGTCTATCGGAAGACTTATATATAGTTCAACCACTACGATACGTTGTTTTTGGGAAAGTACAAATAGGATGTCAATTGAAGAAACATTGTATGGCCTAATGCAATTGATGACAACATAATATTGCATATTTTAGGTCTAATATCATTCATCTTAGCTATATTAGTTACCTATTTCCCTTTTTTTAGTTTAGTTTTGCGTTTTACGGAGAATAGTCGTGTTTGTAGGTGAATTAGTGTAAGAGCAATGTTTTACACTCATTTTAATGCTATGGAGGGCTTGAAGAACAAGTTAGGTGATCTAGTAGTCAAGTCAAGAGCATTACAAGCATAATTGAGAAAAATGCCAGTTCTACCAGTTCAACAACAAGCAGAATTGAGTTCTACATGTAGCAGTTCATTCCTACAGGTAGAAGTGAAACAGAAACCTTTGCTACTGTAGGTTGATACTGTTCTACGGGTAGGTTTTAAACAGAAGGCTATTTTACCAGTAGCTATGAAGAGCAATAAATTTGTCAGAAACAGAATGTAGTCCTACCGGTAGATCGTTTTGTGCTTGCTACCAGTAGGTTAGTGTTTTACTGCTGCAAGGACTTATTTGGAAAGTTGATCTGCTGGGACTTAAAATGACCGTGATTGGTGGATTAAATGAGAGGATATTCAGCGGATACTCTCTTATAAATACCTAAGCCTAGCCAGAGAAAAAAGGAATCAAATCATCGATCAAAAGCTCCTTAGACATTTCCTTCTTCTCCTAGGTTTAGAATTAGGGTTTCTCCTTTTTAAGAGTTCTTCCATTGTTTCAATACCAAGTGTTGTTCTAGTTCTTTAATTTCTTGCAAGGTAATTACTTTCAATTCGCTTTTGTGAATGATTTATATTAATTGCAATTTAATTCAAGGTAATTTCTTTTACTTACATTTTCAATTCAAGTTTATTTCTAGCTCAATTACATTTATGTTTTCTTCAATTGCTTTTGTTTTCAATTCTGTAATGAGTGAGTAGTTGTATTCCGATTTGATCGGATGAGAGAGTCTCATCCGTGGGGATTTTGACCCCAAAGAATGAGTTATTTAGTTGTTTGAATGGTTAAAGTTGAAAACACATTTGATATATATTAATTGCTTGAGGAACAGTGTTAGAGTTTTACTTTTCTACTGTTCTACTTCCCTATTATCTTAATTTATATTGTGCTTGTGATTCAGAATATTCTAGTATATGAGAAGATCGTAATTGTCTTCAATGTCAATCTTATATAAATAGGTTATAGGGTGTAGGCAAAATACACATCCTACACAAATATTATATTACCATCCCTTTCTTCCTCCTCTTTTCTCCTCTTTTTTTTTTTCTAAACCCTAATACTCATTATTTTAGTTTCAATTTTAAACTTAGGACCATGAGTTGTTTCTAGTACTTTTTCTAACCACCAAAACTTGTGATTTCAAAGAGACCCATCAAGCGCTCTATTATTGCCCATTTCTCTTTTATGCCCTGCAATTTATGACAATCTTTTAGCCAAATTTGTTGCAACCAATTAAGTATTATTTTTCTTAGTTGTGTCAAGCTTCTCCAGTGCCTTATGTTATTTACTCGTCACTACCTTTAGGAAGACCAAACTCTCAACTTTAAAATTGAAAAATAACCAATAAATTCTACTTTTTCCTCAAAAGAACCATCAAACCATATCATTTTCTTATTAGAACAATGAAGTCCCTACTTTGGTAAGTTATCAAACCAAACGAAGTCTTATGTCCCAATCATTTGGGGTTCATCATATGAGTCCATCTTTGCTATTCATTCTAATCATGTGCTATATGCTCATTTAAATTAAGTATTTTCATACATTTTCTTATTATTTCGTTCAATGTTAATTTAAATCTATCTCTACTCCTAATACCATTAAGAGAAATTCTATCACTTTTCCTAACCGGTACCTCTATCAATCTCTGTTGGACATGATCAAACCATCTTACCATTTCTCTAATATAGTCATTTCGTATTCTATCATTTCTAATTTTTTCACACATCCATGTTAACATTTTCATATCCGCTACATTCATTTTGTCATTTCTGCTACTTTTGATAAGTTATTCCCTTTTGAACAAATAACACCAAACCTTAGGTGGACTCAATCAGAAAACAACTCACCTCTTCTGCATAAACAATGTTTGTTATTGAAAGAATATTTATAGTACAAGGAAGCTCCATTTTTGTTTAGGTATTAGTCTTCACTTCAACTGTAGCATCAACCTCACGTTCATTGTAGATGCATGAAGCACCTATGTTCTTGCCAAGACCTTCAGTTACACACAATGGTTCTATTTATCCCTCAGCTGGGGTTTTGGAGTATACAAGTCAAGAACTTAACAATCATCCTCGGTCCTTGAATTAGAACCGATAATGGGGCCTAGCAAAAATCGAGCATCAGCTCCCTGGAACAGGTTCTGATATTTGCAATGATGTGTTCTATATGTATAACTATGTTCTACTGGGTCACCCCAGATTGCATCACAGGAATTCTTATTGTATTATGGAATGGATTGGGGCACTGAGCTGCTTTGCAATTCCTGTCGCCATTAAGCAATTGCATCACGCAAAGACAGTTCCCAAGAAATCCTTGGGTTCATCCAATACTGTAATTTGTAAACATTATGAGCAGTCCAATATTTCTAAGTAGCAAGCAAATAATTTAGAACACAGCAAGCTCAGACATCTCTAAAGAAAAGAATTCCAATGCTATAGCTCCAGTACATTAAGTGTCCAATATTCTTAAATAGAAGGACAAAATGGAACAAAATATAGTTCTATGGAGTTTACCAGTTGATGATAAAAAATTATCAAAAGTAGGTGTGAGACCCCGTGTATCCATTTTATTCCATAATGAAATTATTAGGTATAATATTTAGTCTGGTAAATTACAATTACGAAGTATTTCATAATTATATTTCATAAATTGATGTTTTGGACTTATCATGGTGTTGGCGTATATTAAATAATTAGTATTAGGGATAATTTAGTCGTTTACTTTATTTGTGTTGCCCTACTATATATAAGAGCTCTATTGTGTACTCTCTTAATTAGGTTGCAATACATACAATTGTTCCGTAATACATTTTTCTCCTCTCTTCTTGTTTTATCTCTTTAATGGTATCAGCAGGTTTAGACTCATGCCGGATTCAAACACAGTTAATGCAATAGCAGGTTCATCAGGAGCGAAACCAGTAACAAAACTACGGCTGACATCATCCATACAGTTGATGATGTCAGCGTGTGTTTTGATTTGTTGAAGATTTTTTTCAAGAAAGGAGAGCCGAAAGCTAGATCTGGACTTATTTGCCTTTTGCTCGAATTTTCTTAAACCATGTATGTGGGATGCAAGTTTGGCTGCTTGACACTCGATTGTATGCNGCCAAGACCTTCAGTTACACACAATGGTTCTATTTATCCCTCAGCTGGGGTTTTGGAGTATACAAGTCAAGAACTTAACAATCATCCTCGGTCCTTGAATTAGAACCGATAATGGGGCCTAGCAAAAATCGAGCATCAGCTCCCTGGAACAGGTTCTGATATTTGCAATGATGTGTTCTATATGTATAACTATGTTCTACTGGGTCACCCCAGATTGCATCACAGGAATTCTTATTGTATTATGGAATGGATTGGGGCACTGAGCTGCTTTGCAATTCCTGTCGCCATTAAGCAATTGCATCACGCAAAGACAGTTCCCAAGAAATCCTTGGGTTCATCCAATACTGTAATTTGTAAACATTATGAGCAGTCCAATATTTCTAAGTAGCAAGCAAATAATTTAGAACACAGCAAGCTCAGACATCTCTAAAGAAAAGAATTCCAATGCTATAGCTCCAGTACATTAAGTGTCCAATATTCTTAAATAGAAGGACAAAATGGAACAAAATATAGTTCTATGGAGTTTACCAGTTGATGATAAAAAATTATCAAAAGTAGGTGTGAGACCCCGTGTATCCATTTTATTCCATAATGAAATTATTAGGTATAATATTTAGTCTGGTAAATTACAATTACGAAGTATTTCATAATTATATTTCATAAATTGATGTTTTGGACTTATCATGGTGTTGGCGTATATTAAATAATTAGTATTAGGGATAATTTAGTCGTTTACTTTATTTGTGTTGCCCTACTATATATAAGAGCTCTATTGTGTACTCTCTTAATTAGGTTGCAATACATACAATTGTTCCGTAATACATTTTTCTCCTCTCTTCTTGTTTTATCTCTTTAATGGTATCAGCAGG